TTTGTGTTTGATGAATGCATTTTTTATTATGCGTATTGTTACGTACGTTGTATATAAACGTGCCGTGCACGTTTGCTTCTGCGATGGATAAATTCGTTATTGTGTTGGAATATTCCCAAGTTCACGAATATACAGTCGAGTACCGGGACTTTCATTTGAGAAGAGGCGGACGAGCCAAGTCCTAATATTGAAAAAACAGTTCCAAGTCTGTATCTTTAAACGACTTTTTAAAAGTTTCGTAGACAGTTTCAGATCTCTGCAAAAGTTTGTCGAAAAATGACGAGAAGAAAGGCAGCTTCGAAAACGGGGTGTTTCTTCGTAAAATAATAGATAGGTACGTTTTTATTCTAATGGATTCTGATAAATGAATATAATTAAAGAAACAAATACTATTTTCGTTGTAATCTTATGTTTTAAACGGACAATAAATGAAAATAATGCAAAATCAAGAAATACAGCTGACAATTTTGCTGAAAATATCGAAACGCTCGAAAAGAGTTCAGCGAGAAAAAAAAAAAAAAGAAATACAAAGGCTGCGAAGTGTCGCAAGAGTAGATACCGTTTGCATGGAAGTTTGAAAAAGACGGAAAAGTGGGTAGCACCGACGGTTTAGTAGCAACTAACGAGGTCGAGGGTGGAAAGATGGTACTCAAAGTTCTTGTCAAGTGTGTACGTGTACCCAATTGCGCATGCATTAGAATATATACATATTTACGCGGTAGATAGTCTCCCAAAGGCGTCATAGCAATGGAGAACAATAATAATGGCGATACCTGGTGGCGAAGTTAAATTTACTTCTAACATATTACAGTGCAAATGCAGATACGAATTCTCTTGTCGAAATCGACCGCGCTCTTGGTCGTTACGAAAATTTAAATAAATGGAGAATCTTTTACTTAAAATTACAAAAGAGAATCATTTGCAATTAGATAATTTGCTGTATGAACTGCATTTATGTTTTATATTTCTTACATTTATTATGAAAGATCACTTTTTAGGTGACCTAATTCGTATTCATAATTTTATGTTTACGCAAGAATGGAAAACATTTGAAGTATCAAAATACGCACGTATGTAAAATATATATTAAAATGTATTATTCTATACAGAAAAATATACGCGTTTATTATAAATATATATAAAAACTCATTACGTATAATTATAAAAAGAATTCACGAAATTGGACGCGAACAGATTTCGATTACATTCAAAGAGGGTTACAACACAATCAGGCGGAAATAGTTTCATTACTTAATTATGAGAAGCTGCACGTTGAATAAACATCGTAAACATCTGCAATAATGTGGTGGAGTGATTAACAACGGCGTGCGAGTCGTAACGCATTATAACGCGCTTGATAATATACTGTAACGTAGCATCGGCATTATCATACTCGCCGTGTTTCCAGTAATTACAACGTCAAACGTTGAAAATTTCCAGCGAGGCGGATAATGACGTACGCGGAATAATCGCATAGACAGAATGCACTGTTAGATACCAAAGGAGCAATAATAAACCTAATCCCTTGAGTTGTAAGCAACATTTTGTTATTTTTAACTTCTATATTATTTATGTGTATCATAATGTAACGTAATATTTTTTTTTGTTTAGCTTTAAAGTAACAACATACATCTATATTAACATATTACGCATTTAGTAAATAATAGACTAAATTTCAATCAAATTTACTATATTTTCCTAATTGTTTAACTCCAGTGTTTTAGTTAAATTAAGGACACATTGAATAAGAATAGTGACGACCTGAAAAAATGATTAAAAATAACTCAGATTGAGTACAATTTGATATTATAAATTTAGTATAGACAGAATTCACTAATAAATGTCAAAGGAGTAATAGTAACTAACCCCAATTCGTTGAGTTAAAAAAGTAACATTTGTCAATTTGTTATTTTTAACTTCTATATAGAGGAGATCAGGACACCAATGAGTCACAAAAATTCAAACTCTTAAAAGTACATCTAAATATGAAAATTTTTGTATCATTTTTCTTTAATAATTAAAGCATAATGCACATTTTAAAATTTAATAAGTATATTTAGTAAACATTTATTAATTTTTAAGAAAAAAAGTACCATAAGTCACCTACAGAATCGTGGGAATATGCAAGAAATAACGATGACGAAAGTAAATTAATTGAAAAATATTTTCAATTAATTTACACATTCTTAGCATACTCACTAATACAATAAAATGTAATTACAACTAATAATTATTAAATAATAAAATAGAAAATTATAAGAACACAAATGAGAAGTAACCATTAAGATAAAAAATTTATTACGATAAAATAAAATTAATTACTTAGAAGTATAAACTCTTTTAGTATATATATTTTCTGTATTGTCCCGTTTTATCATGAATATTTAATGTATGAGCCATGGTACCCTAACTATACATTTAATTATACATCTAATAGAAAAAACTATAAAAAATAAATGTTAGATTATTACTTGTAACGTAGTAAGTTGAAAAAAGATGCGCATAAACTTGCACCTTATCTTCATATATATGTCTTTTATTACAAAAATAGTATTAAAACATTTTTATGCGGTTGAAAAGTTGCTATTGCACCACGAAAACCATTGATCGGTGCTTTTCGAATGGAATTTAATCGCTGTTACCTAAATAAAAAGTATGGACAACTAAGCAACAGTCGTATTGTACCAATAATATTAATTTAAATATTCTAGCTTGTTAAATATTCTAGCTATGTTAAACAATCGATAACCCATGGTGCCCCTCCAGTTTTTCCTACAGGGTGGGCCATCTATTGGTACGTTTTTAAAAATGCGATCAAATGAGCATACATTGATATTTTTTATTAATTTTTTTGTTGTTGTGAAGCTAAAATTCAA